CTGAAACTATACCCGGTCATTACCACTAGTGCAAATCATAGTAATGTTTTGTCCGTCCATAATGCTTCCTCTGTATCGTCATTATCTGACTTGGAAGAATCTGTCCAGAAAACGAGTTGAGTTACACCAATAGGGCAGGAATGAGACATTACACTATTACAGCCAATCCAGCAAGGGCACACAAATGTCAAAGTTGGAGATATAATCAAGATTAACGAAAATGAATGGTTCCCATCAGATGTGGTGTTGATTGCCACCAGTGAAACAGAAACCAACGAGGCATTTGTTGAAACCATGGCTCTTGATGGTGAAACCAACTTAAAACCCAAATCACCACATCGTGAGCTTGCAAAAAGGGCATCTACAGTCACCGGACTCAAGAATTTGCAAACATTGATCACAGTCGAAGACCCAAATAAGGATCTCTACAACTTTGAAGGTTCGTTTGTATTGGATGGTGAAAAGTATCCACTTGGACCAGACAATGTTATCTACCGAGGCAGTGTCTTGAGAAATACAAAGTCAGTGTTGGGTCTTGTCGTATTCACCGGTGAAGAAACAAAAATCAGAATGAATAACATCAAAAACCCCCGAACCAAGGCTCCAAAATTGCAAAAGAATATAAACTATATTGTTATTTTCATGGTGTTTGTGGTGATTATGTTATCGGCATTTTCAACCATGGCACAGAGATTGCAGTTTGCCAGTTATAAGGATAGGGCATGGTACTTATTTCAACAAGATGCGGGAGTTGCTGCCACTTTAATGGGGTTTATTATTATGTACAACACACTTATTCCCTTGTCACTTTATGTCACCATGGAAATTATCAAAGTGATGCAATTGTGTTTTCTTCAGTTTGACATTGACATGTACCACGTTGAATCAAACACTCCAGCGGATGCCAAAACAGCAACGATATTGGAGGAGTTGGGTCAAGTATCGTACATTTTCAGTGACAAGACGGGGACATTAACAGACAACAAGATGATTTTCCGTAAGTTTAGTGTCTGTGGAGTGAGCTGGTTACATGATTTGGATATCGTTGCAAATGAAAAGGAGAACCCAAACAGTCAAATTATGGCTCCATTGGTTCCTAGAATCAGCATGCATTTCCCCTCGCTGACAATCGGGAACAGGACAAGCATAGAGAACAGAATGTCGTCGGATTATGCTCCAAGAACAAGTACTACTTCAATTGCCCGTGAAAGTTTGGATGTTGCCGCACCTCCGCGTAAAAGTACAACAGCATGGGCATCATCGGCTCAACCAAACAAAATTCAAGACTCCGCAAACTCGTTGCAGTTATTGAGATACATCCAGTCACATCCACAAACTTTGTTTGCTAAGAAGTCAAAGTTTTTCTTGTTATCCATTGCATTGTGTAACACATGTTTACCTCGTAAAAAGGAAAAGAAACAGCTGACTCCTTGCAACGATTCTACATTCACGTTAGATAATATTGAAGAAGAAGACGAAGATGGAGCTAGTTACGGCAGTGATAATTGTGCTGTAGATGAAGCAATTTCATACCAAGCAGCTTCCCCTGACGAGTTGGCTTTGGTACAGGCCGCAAGAGATCTTGGATTTGTTGTATTTGATAGACAGAATAACAAATTAACCATAAAAACATACCCAGATGGATTTGATAATGACCCAAAGTACGAAGAATATCAGGTTTTGGATGTGATTGAATTTTCATCGGCAAGAAAAAGAATGTCCGTTGTAGTCAGGTTCCCAGATAACAGAATTTGTTTGCTTTGTAAAGGAGCTGACAATATAATCTTGGAGAAGTTAAAGAATGCAGACTTGGCACAATCGAAAGCTAAAGAAATTTCTCAACAATCTGCAGAAAGAAAAACACAGGAAGCTGATGTTATTTTGCAATCAAGACTTTCACAGGAAGTTGAACCTCGAAAATCTGGTATGTCTTTCCGTCAAAGTATGAGTATTGGAAACGGCGGTGCTTCGGCAAGGATGAATACTATTGACAATGCATTAATGGGAACTGAGGAAGAAGAAATTGCTGATATCGCTTTGAAAGCAAGAAAGTCTTTACATATACAACAATCGAAAAAGTACAATTTAGAAACTGAAGCTGAGGAAGATGATACCACTGATGGTAGAATATCCAATTCACGTCCAAGTAATGGTATGCATATGACACACACCAGCGGAGCAAATATTACAAATAGTTCACTTCCAGAGCATTATATCCCAAATGACAAAGTTCTTGTGAATGAAGAATTCTTGATTGAAAAAACATTGGAACATATTGAAGAGTTTTCTACAGAAGGTCTTAGAACATTGCTTTACTCATTCAAGTGGCTTGATAAGACTGATTATGAAACATGGAGCAAAGAATACAGTGAAGCTAAAACAGCATTGACCAATCGTAGTAAATTGATTGAGAAAGTTGGGGCTAAAATTGAAAGCAATTTAGAATTGTTAGGGGCTACTGCCATTGAAGATAAATTACAAGATGGAGTAAGTGAGGCAATTGACAAGTTGAGAAGGGCAGGAATCAAGTTATGGATGCTTACTGGTGATAAAAGAGAAACTGCTATCAATATTGGATATTCTTGTCGTCTTATCAAAGATTATTCAACTGTTGTTGTTCTTTCGAATGACGAAGGGAAAGACGCGTTGACAGACAGAATTATATCGTCCACGCTGGAAGTCAAAGCGGGACGAGTTGCTCATAGTGTCTTGGTCATTGATGGGGGTACTTTAACTGAAGTGGAACAGGATCCGACATTGTTGACATTGTTCCTTGAACTATGTGTTGAAGTGGATTCCACCATTTGTTGTCGTGCTTCACCTTCCCAAAAGGCCAATATGGTTAGTGCCATTAGAAAATTGAAGAAAGATGCTGTTACCCTTGCAATTGGGGATGGTGCCAATGATATTGCGATGATTCAAAGTGCAGATATTGGTGTTGGCATAACTGGTAAAGAAGGTCTTCAAGCTGCCAGATCGGCAGATTATGCTATTGCGCAATTTAGATTCTTATTGAAACTTTTGCTTGTCAATGGTCGATACAACTATGTGAGAACATCCAAGTTTGTCTTGTGTACTTTCTACAAAGAGTTGTTGTTCTACTTGACTCAATGTATTTACCAAAGAAACACTTTGTTTTCTGGGTCATCGTTGTATGAAAGTTGGTCGCTTTCCATGTTTAATACATTGTTTACTTCCTTACCAGTCATTTGTGTGGGGATGTTTGACAAGGATTTAAAGCCAGCAACTTTATTGGCTGTTCCAGAACTTTATGCAAAGGGTAGACTTTATCAAGCGTTCAACTTGAAGATTTTTGTTTCCTGGATGGTACTCGCCACATTACAGAGTGTTGGGATATCCTTCTTGGCATATTATGTCTGGGGATTCACCGCATTGCGAGACAATACAACGTTTGCACTTGGATCATTGTCTTTTACAGTTTTGGTGATTGTTATCAATGCCAAGTGTACATTACTTGAAATGCAGAATAGAAATTGGTTGGCATGGGCTTCGTTCATAATATCAGTTGGTGGTTGGGGACTCTGGAATTTGTTAATTATGGGGTTGTATAGAAACAAATTGTCTACCATTTATTTTGTGGCCTATGGGTTAATTACATGGGGTCGTGATCAAAGTTGGTGGGCGGCATTGTTGATGATTTTGACTATACCACTATTGTTTGATATTTTGATTAAGGTGTTCAAGTTTATGTTCAAACCCAACGATGACGAAATCTTCCGTGTTTATGAACAAGATTTGGAATTGAGGAAATTCTTTGAAAATGCAGCCTACAAGGAATTGTATCAAAGTTGGACTTTCCCACATGATCCATCTACTACAAAAATGTTGATTTTTAAAGCCTTCAGAAATATTGGTTCTAAATTAGGTATCAAAAAGAATCGCTCGATAGAAGAAGAGTTAGGCGAACAAAGAGACAACTCTAGCAATGATGATTTACAATCTGCAGCCAGCAGAAAGAGAGCAGGAACTAATCCAATGAAGCATGAATTGCCACCAAGTGGAGAAGGCATCAATGTTTATTCAAGTGACTTCAAACCACATGTTTCACAGTTTGAAAATGGTTATGAGATTCTTCCTAGTGGTAAACGTGTCAAGGTTAGAAATAAGGAACGTAGCTGGTCAATTTCAAAAGCATTTGGGAAGAATAACGATGAAGATGTGGATGCTATTATAGACGAAAGATTGAATAATTTGCGTTACGAAGAAGAAGGAAGAAATGTGTGATTCTATCCATTATTGTATATACACCTTCGTATATGTATACTACAAATATAAGACAAACAAACACAAAAATATATCTGTATATTACGAAATCTATTATTTAATTTATTCTGGATGTATTTATAGAATTAAGTTCAGTTTCAACTGTCTTTATTATATTTTTCAAATATTTTCCTTTTGAATTTCTTTCTAACCAATCTTCAAATCTTTCACGGATTTCACCAAGTTCCTGAGTTTTCAGAGGATATTCAGTTTCATTTTCATTATATGGATTCAATAAAAGATCAAACAATTCTGACCATAAATTAGTTTGCCAATATCGCTTTAATGGAGAACGTAGCTTAATCCTGTTATTAGTTTTAATTATTCTAATATAAGTTCCAAACAATAACGTGTGAATAATTCCTGCTAATCCATAATAGTCAGCTTCATATGTCCAAGGTCTTCCTTCATTCATTTGTGGACAATCTTGTTCATCTGTTTTGAAATGACTGATAAATCTTGTATCATCAGAGAATAAATTCATATCAACAGCTCTACCAAAATCAATTAATGTTAAACTTTTCGAATTCCAACCATATCTACCATTCCTGTCATATTCTTCAGCCCAGACATCATTGTCAACAGTGGAAAACCTTACCATACAATTATCTGCTTTTAAATCACCATGTAAGATCTTGATAGAATGTAAGGTCTCGACAATTTTCATCAATTCAATTGTGAAAAATACAACCAATACTTCATCAACTAATGAACCATTATTTTTGAAATTATTAACAACATCTAATAATGTAGATTGACTACAATAATCCATAACCAAAAAACTCTCATCTTTAAAATAATACAAAGCATCAGCTCGGATAAAATATTTTTGCTTATAATTAGCTTCACAGACCAATCTTCTATGTATCTGGTGTAGAATGTAAAATTCCCATCTGTTTGAAGGTGATTCGATCTTTAATGCTTTAAGGTTCCCAGTTGAGCCATCCTCTATTAAATAAACATAGCCATATCCGCCTTTACCAAGCTCATGCAATAAACAGTATATTTCATCACCACAATAGTCTATAATCGCCAGTTGTGAACTTTTATTGATAGTCTGGTTTTTGTTTGTGATATCACGAAATTTTTTAATACGATTAACACTGATATTTGATTTGTCAAAATAGCCGGAATATGTTGTCATCGGAATTGCCAAAGTATCTAGGAACCCATCTTGTAAATCAACATCAAATGGATCGACTGGCTGAGTGTTTAAGAAAGATGGTTCGCGGACAAATGGGGAACTCGCATCATTATCTTGATAACTGTTTTCAATATCTGTAGGGGGTGTTGTGGCTATCTGGTCAATCTGTTGAGTATCAACTTGAGTTGGTATTAGTTCGTTCTGGCACTTGTCATCCCCTAACTGTGGTTCAATTGTTTCTGTAATAAAACCATCATAGTTGGTAATTGTTGGTTCAGGGAACTTTTCTTCCTCATCTTCAAAATTATACTCGTGTCCAATATCATTGTAGATACTGTGTAGCTCTTGATTGGCGATATTTCCGTTCATGGTAATAGTTGGCTCATTTGCAATACGGGTTTTATCTTCTAGTACATTGTTATTGAGAGCCAAAGTAATTGTTTTTGTATCACCATCATCGTTAGGATCACCTAATTGTTCATATCTGACACTAGGAATTGGGCTTTGAATCACTTGGGTAGTTGCCAACCTCCTTGCTTTTACCATTGCTCGATTTGTAGCCAATAACTCAAGAAAGCTAATTTCGTTCAATTCATCAGGGTACACAAGGTCCATATTGACAAATACCTTTTCTGGTTTCTTTCCAGTTGTTTCCAATAAAGTACAAGTTCTGCTTTTGTGGTCCAATACAAGCAGTTTTTTGGTCTCTATCTGTGGTTGTTGTTCGTCACAAAAAACGGGGATCTTTGATGAAGATGGTGGCGTCACAACTCGTTGTTTCAATATCTGACCTTTCCAAGTACTAGCAGATATGATGTTTTCCTTGACTCTCTGTCGTACAGGATTTAATTGAAGGTCTCTTTCAGCGCCAGTACTAGTGCCAAATATACTTTGTAAAATACTGCCATTACTCTCTGCACTGTCGTCTTTGAACACCTCTAGCTTTGATTTCTTTCGAGGATGTTCTTGCTCATCACTCTCTTGAAAAACTCTTGAACCTTTCTTAAGTGCCAATACTTCTCGAACGACAGTCGAGGTATTCGAAACTGTATCCAATTGTGCTGCCGTTCTTTCTTTGAAAGCAGTATATGTTTTTTGTAATCGATGCAATGGATAAGCATTTGATTGGATACCCAATTCATATATCTGATTAGCATCAACGTATTTTTTCAGCAACTCTAGGTATGAAGCAAATTCTTCGTAATACAAAGCCAATTGAGTTCCAATATCTTTTTTAGCCAAATAAATGAAAATATCCTTCGGTGTATCGGAATAATTAGTATATTCCATCCAAATCTTCAAGTAACGTGGATCATTCTTATAGTGTGGAACATCTCTGAATTTAGCTGTACACTGTTCTAGAAGGGTAACCAATCCACTGTCTGTATTAGCACCTTGGGGATAATTATAATGAATCCAATTCAAATAGTCAACATAAATCTGCAATGGATCATCTAAATCCTCGGATTCTAAGAGCTTTTGTTCAAATTGAGCCTTCTCTTTTGCCAAGTTCATCTTATGATCAAAATGATTAGCATTGGGTAGTAAATTGACTAGTTTTGTTACTGATCGTCCACCACTCAATGGGGTGATATTCTCCTTTTGCTGTTCTATAATATAAGCACTTTCTTGAAGAGGTTGTCTCGATGATGTCATTAGTCGCCTGAATGAGTGTGTTGTGTGTTGAATGAGAGAAACTAACCCCAATGGCCTGGGTTGGTTGGTTAGTTGATGTTGTTTGTTTATGTTTTATTTTTTTTTTTTTTGTTTGTTTGTTTGTTTGTTTGTTTGTTAGTGAGATGGGTGGATGGGTGGTCTGTCTGTCTGTCTGTCTGGCTTGTCGCGGAGAGTTCAATTTCATATCATAACCCGCGCGAATATAGCCCCAAGGGTGTCCACAGCGAGAACAAAAAAAAACGAGAAGTCACAACGAATGAAAATTTTATTTCAAAGAACAACAAGACACATTCAACAACTTCTGACAATTAAAGGGATCAGACATCTTACAAATGATCTACCACCTATCAATACTATTGGTATCATTAATTGTGCCTTCAATATTTGCAGATGCTGTTATTTTTGAAAATGACAAGCATTTCCAAGAACAACTTCATTTGAAACCTTTACCACGTAACAGATTGTTGACAAATTTTGAGTTTGATGTTGAATCATCACCTTTTGATATAACCTACAACAATGACTCATTTGCAATTGGAAATTCAAGAATTAGTCATTACAATTACTTTCCCAAATTCTTTGGGATTGATTATAGAATCAACAAATACTAAACAATTGACATTGCGTTTCACCCAAGGTTGGTGGGATGCTAATTCATGGGGTAAATTACCATTTGATGGTAAATATAGTGGAGGAACAGGTGTTGAAGTATCAGCTATTATTGAGGCCCCTAATGTCGATATTGCTAAAAAGAATTGGCTGAAGTTAACAAAAACATTATCTGGATTCTTTTGTGCCTCATTGAATTTCATTGATGATCATATTACTACTTATCCAAAATATGCCGTAGAAGAAATCAGTAATGTGCAATTTTCTCCAGAAATTGGTAATAAATTGTACCTTTTAAGAGCAGCTCTACCTAGTGAACCTGTTTGTACAGAAAATTTGACTCCATTTTTGAAATTGTTACCAACTAGAGGAAAATCAGGAATTTCTTCATTATTGGATGGTCATAAAGTCTTTGATTCATTATGGCATGGAATGTCCATAGATGTCACAACAAAATGTGATAATAACAACAATGAGAACAACAACCAATTGTGTACTCTTCAATTGCACCAAACCGTGAATCAAGTTGTCGATATAATTCGATCATTGCGTAAACAAAAGGAAGGTGCTATTCCTAAACCGACACCTGGTGAAGAGTTGAGATGTGACATGAACAAAACTTATAATTCATGGCAATGTTTCCCACTTAGTGATCCAGTTTCAATGAAATGGAATTTGGAAACCATTTATGGACGTCCAATCAAGGGACCTGCTTTTGGTGATGTTCCTGAATCATCAAAAGTCTCCATTGACATTGATTCTTCTACTTGGAATGTAAATTTGATCAGACAAAATGATAGTTCAATAGAATCAAGTTCATTATCTGTTGATTCTAAAAACAGAATCATGCAACAATTACCTGATGTTGTTAATTATGATTTTGAATTTGTTGCCCGTGATAGTTCAACTGTTTTACCTGTGGAAGAGCCACCATTATATGCATCTCGTTCTTTAACTGGGTATTCCCTTGATCAAGGGGGTCTTCGTACTGTATTTACCAATCCAGGAGATGTACCTGTCAAATTGGTTTATTTCGAATCGACTCCATGGTTTATGAGATTATACTTGAATACTTTAAAGTTGAGTTTGAAAAATGAAAATGGAACTTTTGACGTTTCAGATCATCAAGAATATATTAAAAATGTTTATTTCCGTCCAGCAGAGGATAGAACTAGACCATCACATATGGAATTGATTGTAGTTGTTCCACCAAAACTGACATTGGCAATGTCATATGAATTTGATAAATCATTGTTGTTGTATCGTGAATATCCACCTGATGCAAACCATGGATTTGATGTTGAACCAGCTGTTATTACAATTCTTAATAATAATAATAATAATAATAATGACAATGATGATGGACATGAAAGCGGTGGAAAATCCATTTATGAATTCCGTACCACGAGTTTATTATTAACTTTACCAACTCCAGATTTTTCTATGCCATATAATGTTATTATTATGACTTGTACAGTGTTATCGTTATCATTTGGAACTATCTTTAACATTTTAACCAAAAAAGTGGTCACTGAAGAAGAATTTGAACAAGTTGCCGCAAATACAAAATTGGCTAAATTGAAAAGAGGTATAAAATCGAAAATAGCATATATCAAATCTTTCAAGAAATAAATATATAGTTTACTACACATAATAATATTAATAATTCATGAGAGGTAAAAAAAAGATAGTATTTTTTTAAAAAGGATCTTCATATGGATCTTCTTCATCATAATCATCATCTTTTTCAAATTCATATACAATTGCACCACCAGCAGAACCTAAAGATTCTTGAGCTTGCATAAATGGTAATTCAACTTGTTCTCTTGCTAATTTTTGTTTTGAACTTGTTGTTAAATTAAAAGTGGTTAAATCTTTAAGTAAACTTTCATCTTCTTCAATATATTCATCTTCTTTTTCATCTTTCCAAATATTATATTCATGAATATTACAATCAATCTTAAGTTTATAAATTAATGAACGACCTGATTTTCTTCTATTTGTAAGAATAACATGGAAAATTTTATCATTTAAATTACAATTGATCGGGAAATTTAATTTATTTATTGCTGAATCTAAATATTCATCATCAATTGAATCTGGAATTATTGGATATAATTCAAAAATTGTACTTGCAATATAAGTTAATAAAGTTAAAGATGAAGGATAATTAGGATATTTTGAAATAGGTATAGGTGTTTGAGTATGATAGATTCCAATAACAGTAATTGAAGGTCCTACTAATTTTGAAATAAAATTTGAAATTTCATGATCGGGAAGATAATTTAAAGAATCTATAATAATTAATGATTTTTCATTTGATTTTGAATTTGAATTTAAAATATTGATTTGATCAATGATTTGTTGAATTGATAAATTGGAACAATCTATAAATTCACTAACATATTCAGGTTTATTAATTGTTTCAAATGATAAGTAAATGATTTTATTATTAGAATTAGGAGTAATTCTGTAAATATATTCTTGAATGAGATAAAATGCTGATTGAGTTAATGAATCCAATATCAAATGAAATGATGAATTTTCTTTTAATGAAAGCAACCTAGTAAGTAATACTGTTGCACTTTGGGAACTACTGACTGGCATTCTATGTCTATAAATATTGCTATGATCTTATATACCTCCAGAATATGTCTTCTTTACTTGATTCTTTGCTTGATTGTTTTTGGTTTTTTTTTTTCAGTTCAACTTTATCTCTCGATGACTTTTCGTGGACATGGAAAAAAAAAATTGTCGTGATAATTGTTTCTTGATTGACCAACTGTGTGTCTGTGTGTGAGTTTATAGATACTGCTACATAATCATAACAATGTCACCTACAGAGGATAATAGTAATAATAAGAAGAAAAACCTAGCGGGGAATTATTCCATACCTGATGCGTTGAATGCAGAACTTCAGAAAGAATTCACCAAGGATGTTTCTACACCAATGGATAAATTGAAAGATGATATATTAAATCAGAATAGTTATAATAAACTAAGGTTTCAAAGAGCAGTCAATTTAAACTTGGATGATCAAAAATCATATAAACAAATCATGAATGAAAGGAATTTAGAACGTGAAGAAGTTCGAGTAGACAAGTTGATCAAAGAAAACCAAGAAATACCGCAGATTGGTGAAAGTGAATCAAGGAAAAGAAAGAAAAGATGGGATATTACTCCAGAAGAATACAACAAACAAAAAGAACAAAGATTAGTTACTGGATCTACCTCAAAGTTAATTGAAGAATTGGCTAGAGAAAGATTACCTGTAGTCAATGGGATACCATTAACTGATGAGATTTTGGACAAGATATTACCACTGGGGTATAGTAAAGTTAGACAACCTCCAAGTTTCAAACAAAACGACGATACTATCCCTCCAGATGTAATAGAATCAAATAGTTCTGAATATTATGTTATCCCTTCAAATGAATCCATTGGAGTTTTACAATCAGGTCTCCCCACAGAAATGTCTGGAATTAAAGGATTGGATTTTTTCAAGGAAGAAGATATGAAACATTTTGGTAAACTTGCAAGTCTTAATTCCAAGACAGAATTATCTGAAATTGAAAAGAAAGAAGTTGGTGCAATGAAATTAATTTTGAAAGTTAAAAATGGATCTCCTATTGTTCGTAAACGTGCTATGAAGAAATTATCAAGTAGTGTAAATAACCTTGGTCCTAAATTATTACTTAACCAAATTCTTCCAGTGTTAATGGAACCAAATCTAGATCCTCAGGAAAGACATTTATTAGTCAGATTAGTTGGAAGAATCATTTATCAACTGAATGATTTGATTCGTCCATATACACATCAAGTCTTGTCTGTTATATCACCATTTTTAATTGATGAAGATCCAACAATAAGATTAGAAACTAAAGAAATCATATCAAGTTTGACTAAAGCTGCAGGTTTAGCAAATATTATTTCTACATTAAGACCCGATTTAGATCATGTGGATGAATATGTTCGAAATTTAACAGCAAGAATTTTTGCTATAGTTGCAAACACATTAGGTTTGAAATCATTTATACCATTTTTGAAAGCAGTAATTAAATCAAAGAAAAATTGGACAGCTAGACATACTGGAATTAAAATAATTCAACAATTATGTATCATGTTGGGAGAAGGGAATGGCTCTACTATACTACCTTATCTTTCTACATTAGTTGAAACATTAATTCCACCTATTAATGACGAAGCAACTCAAGTTAGAACCATCACTGCTTTAACATTAGCTCAATTAGCAGAAAATGTGTCACCATATGGTATTGACTCCTTTGAACCAGTTTTGGAACCAATTTGGTTTGGTATTAGAAAACAAAGAGGTAAAGGATTGGCTAGTTTTTTGAAATGTATTGGTTCTATTATTCCATTGATGTGTTATGATCCAAATTATGAAGAATATACTAATTATTATACTACTGAGGTTACAAATATTATTGTTCGAGAATTTGAATCTCGAGATGAAGATATGAGGAAAACAATTCTTAATATCATACCTCGATTACCATTATCAAGGAAACTTATACCTGGTTACGAAACCAAAGTTATAGTTCCATTCTTGAAAGCATTTTGGAATAGACGTACTGCTACTGATTCAACAAGAATTACAAAATTAGTAATTGAAGCAACAAATCATTTGGCAATTAAGTTTGATTTTTTGGAAATGTTGGAACATATTGTTTATTTCAGTAAGGATAACAATGAAGAATTGAGACGATTGGCTATTGAAGCTATCAATAAATTAATCAGTAACAATAAGGATGAATTGATTGGTATGGATTCTCAATTAGATAGAAAATTAGTTGATGGTGTATTGTATGCGTTCCAGAATCAAACCATGCAAAATAAGATTTATTTGACATGTTTTGGAACAATGGCAAATGCATTAAACATTAGATTAAAACCACATTTGAATTCAATTTTAAGTACAATTTTATACCGAATGAAGAATAAGTTGGAATATATTAGAGAACAAGCAGCTGATTTAATTACTATTATGGCTCCATATATCAAACAATGTTCTGAAGATGAGGATGAATTATTAATTAAATTGATTTTAATTTTATATGAATCATTAGGAGAAGTTTATCCTGAAGTTTTAGGATCAATTATCAATGCATTATATGGATGTCTTGATGCTATAGATCGTGTTACATTATATACAATGACTAATCCATCAATCAATCAAATTTTACCAACTTTGACTCCTATTTTAAAAAATCGACATGAAAAAGTTCAAGAAGCATGTATTAATTTAGTTGGATTAATAGCTAGAAAGAATGCTGAAACGATAAATGCTAGAGAATGGATGAGAATTTGTTTTGATTTATTAGAAATGTTGAAAGCACAACGTAAAAGAATAAGAGTAGCTGCTAATCGTACATTTGGATATATTTCTCAAACTATTGGACCACAAGATGTTATAGTTATGCTTTTAAGTAATTTAAGAGTACAAGAACGTCAATTAAGAGTTTGTACTGCTGTTGCTATGGGTATTGTTGCTGAAACATGTTTACCATTTACTGTATTACCAGCAATTATGAATGAATATAGAACACCTGAAAAAAATGTTCAAAATGGTGTTTTAAAAGCAATGAGTTTTATGTTTGAATATTTGGATGGTAAAATTACTAAAGATTATTTATTTGCAATCACACCATTACTTGAAGATGCATTAACTGATAGAGATTTAGTTCATAGACAAACAGCAGCAACAGTTGTTTTCCATATTGCTTTGAATTGTATTGGATTAACAAATAATGATTATACTGATGTATTTATTCATTTTTTGAATTTAATCATGCCAAATATTTTTGAAACTTCTCCACATGTTATTACTAGAATTCTTGAAAGTATTGAAAGTTTAAGATTAGTTATTGGAAATGGAATTTTCACCAATTATATGTGGTCAGGTTTATTTCATCCTGCTAGAAAAGTAAGAACACCATATTGGAAGATTTATAATAGTGCTTATGTTCAATGCAGTGATGCATTAGTCCCATATTATCCAAGAATAGAAGAATTACCAAATGATGATGATACAGAACAAGATTTAAGTTATAAGTTAGAAGAATTAGATTTATATTTATAGTAAAGGAAAAGATTAGTATACAAAATCTTAGTTTCAATATATATATATATATATATATATATATGACAGCTTATCAATTGATATTGAATGAAATAGGCGTATTAGGGTCACGATGAATCAACCGGTTCATACCATTCTTTTGATAGGAGATTTCCACATTTCGTTGTATAGCCTGTTCGTTGCGTGCACCTGGTAAATCATCGATAGCTTTTTCTCTGTCGTTATTCTCCCCTTCATCATCCTCTTCTTCCTCTTCTTCTTCGTCGTCGTCGTCATCATCATCATCATCATCAACATCATCATCATCATCGTCGTCGTCATCATCATCATTATCATTATGAGCATTACCATCTCGTGTTAAACAGGAATTTTCAACCTCATGAATATATAATCTTGTTACATATTTAGTAACTTTTTGTGCTTGTAATTCCAAGATATCTTCTACATCTGATAAATCAATTTCCTCATCTGATGTTGAAGGTGTATTACTAGTAGAAATAACACCTGGATAACAATCAATATATATCTCATTATTTTCACTATTATTAAACTGTGGTATTGATGCCATCCAATTACTAATTTTTTCTTTATAATTCATATTGGGTGATTTTCTTGGATTTAAATTATTGTAAATCTCTAGATTTGACACTTGTAAATTGTTAGTAGATTCGTTCTTTAATTGTTGTGGTAGAATAAAACCAAATTGTGATTGATTAGTAGATACATTATTATAGCTGAGATTTAGATGCTGTTGTTGTTGTTGTTGTTGATGTTGCTGTTGTTGATGATGAACATGGTGATTTGATTCTTGGTAGATGTTGCGATTTGAAGTTGTCAAGATACCTCTTTTAGAATGCTCATTTGGTATATATCTTGGAATTTGATCATTATCTAAACCCATTGGCTTACCATTGTAACCTCTACCATATATATAAGAATCAGGAGGAATCCCAAACCCTAACTGGATTCTATTGTTTGAAATATGATTACCGGGAAGTGTAGGAGTCGGAGTCGGAGTCGGAGTCGGAGTCGGAGTCGGAGTGGTTGTTGTTGTTGTAGTGGTAGTATTAGATGTTATTGGATTAATGCCATTAAAGTTATAATTTGGCGGGAAATTCAAATTTCTTGCATGCTGGAGATTAGCAGGGGAATTATTAACAGAAGAAGTTGTAGATGCTATCACTGCAGCGAAGGTATTGTTATTATTATTATTACTATTATTTGCTGTTGTTGCTGTTGTTGCGGTGGTAGTTGTATTTGTATTTGTGGCAGCTGCTGCAGTTGTAGACAATAGAGTGTTTTTATTTGTTAATGGATGAAGAATTGAAAGACGACGTTTGTTTTTATCTTCCATGATAATTACTAAGTATGTTGTAAGATGTCGATCTTCAATTATGATTGATGTATTGGAGATAATTATTACCTTCAATTGATTGGTTGGTTGAAGATGATAAATTCAAAAGTAGTTTTTATTGTAACGGAAAGTATCAAAAAAAAAAGAAAAACCAATAAAAAATAGGAACCTTTTTAGTTGGCGGGTATCTACATACATAAAGTGGAGAGCAAAAGAATATATGTGAGACTGCAAAATGGCAAAACATCATACATATGATTGCTGGTAGTGTAGCAGATTAGGTTGTGTTTGGTGGGAGTTGTGCAAGTGTATAAATCCGATCTTTCTAGTTATCTATCATATCATATCATATCATAGAGTAATTGAATACTTAGAGGTTGTCAGGTTGCAATTAGTTTATTCCAATTAGAAGATTGTGATATTTCTGTATTATATGGGAACGATTATAAGCCTATTTCGTTTCAACTATACCGGGATGAAAGGAAGGATATTGGAATGATGTCAATCATTTTCTATACCCTAATTCAAATTCGAAACAGTTCTCACTTTGCCAACTTAAACGATGAGAGAAACATTATTTCGGATTAACCTTAAATCTGTCCAATGATATGAGTTCATCTAGATCTAGACGGCAGAAACTTTGATGAATCAAGTATTGTTATGAATAACAACGACAATCATAATATTGTTTGTTTGTTTCAATGTTATGGAGATCACTGGTGTATAAAGAATCAATCATACACACACAAAAAAAAAGATAAAAAATTAGTCGTGCATGTGTGCCTGAAAAATAATAAAGCTAAGCGACAATAATAATAATAATAATAATAATAATAATATGTAATGCACAATAAAAAGACTCACACGATTGAAATCAATATTTCTGTCGCCCGTTTCGGCTTTTTGTACACAATGCATATCGGGGGAAGATGAGAGAGGGCTACATCTGCATCTTTCGCTTAACTCGCTCTGAGTTTGTAACAAAGAGAATGGCAGTGTTTTGAAGTTGTCGATTGGTTTCATCAAAGATTTTCCTGTTTTATTTTTCTTTTCTGCTAGTAGTGGTGGTTAGTTTAATTTATTTAGATTATGCACGTGATAAATGTGCATTTAATGTGTGGCAAAACTTTGATTTTTTTTTTTTCTTTTACTCCCAACAATACTTTATATGAAAGAAAAAGGTTTTAATCTAAAATGTCAAAGTTTACCTTTTTATTTTGGGTAGTTTAATGACCTAATTGGAGGGGCATAATACAATCCATGGTTAGTTTCACCGCAAACACATAACTCCTATTGGATTTTTCTCTCTTTTCTTTTTTAGTTTTAGAATAAGCACAATTCACATATTCACATTGAAAAGTAAAAACAAAACAAAATAAGAAGGATTTTCTAGTAATCATTATGTAAGAGGATTTCCATTCCTGTTATTTACTATGATCTCTTCTTGATATCGTCTATTTTCCCGTACTAACAAAAATGAAAAATGAAAAAAAAGAAAGAAATACATTTTTCATTCTGAAACTTTATCATATCAGAGAATATTTCAAAGGAAAAAAAAAAAACGAATTCGGAATAAACGTGTTGGATTATTAGAAAAGGCTAATTTTTATTTTTCATTTTTCATGATGTCTTATCATATAAATAAGAAGTAGGTGATAGAGGTATGCTTTGATAGGTATGTTTAAGTAGGTAATGAGTAGTTGCAAAAGAGACAAGTAGATGTATAAAATTACAGGGGTAGTTTAGATAGAATAGTGTAAAACACAAAAATAAAAACCAATTTAATCCGCAATGATCACACAAAGCCAATGATGATACACGTCTTCCTCCTTTTCCTGCCTCCTGTTATAAAAATTACGTAACACGCATCCACACATATACTTTTCTTCTTCTTGTCATTGCTGTGGTCATACATACATACTATACATACATACTATTACATACAACATACAATAGAGATAACCTTTTTCTCTTTTTGTTTTTTTGTTTTTTTTTTTTTAAAGTTGAAATTTTTCACATTTTTCAAAAAGAGAAATTTTTTTTTTGTTTTTAAATTTTTCACTTCAACAAGTTCAACCCCAAAAAACACATACCCATATAAACACACACACACAGAGGAAACGACAATCTTTCAACAACAATAATAACAATAATAATAAAAAGTTACAACTCATACATATTCCTTTTTTCTTTTTCATTTCATTTCGTTTCAAGAATTTTTGGTTTTATTTTCAATATATAAACCACTATCTTTTTCCTTTCTTTATTGAAAAAAAATAAAATTCATCATTCAATTAATTCCTTCTTTTCATTATATACCAATTGGAAAATTCACTTATCAATCGTTTTCCTTTATCATTATTATTATTATCTTTTTATTTAGTCTTTTTTATTTTTTTTAGTTTCCTCGCTCCACGGTACTCCTTCTACTTCCCCCTCCCCCACAAAGCTGGTTTTTATTCGTTAAAGGTTATTCCTTCAATTCCGATAAAACATCTTTTGGTTATTATTTTTGTTAATCTAACTATCATTTAAATATTCATATATATATATATTCCACAATTAAGAAAATGAGTGATCCACCATATCAAATTCAGAAAATTATGACTCACAAGAAGAAGAAAGGTGAAATCTGGTTCCAAATTAAGTACGCTACTGGTAGTGTTGAATGGGTTCCAAGACCAATCTTACAACATTTAATTCCTGCAAATTATCAACATTACGTTGATAAACAACCAGATCTTAAGAATTTATAAGATATTTACTATGTTAGCTACAACTACTACTACTACTACTCAGATGATGTTGCGGTTGTCTTTCTCTTTCTTATTGTGTATGTGTGTCATTCAGTCAGCCATTCGTCTGTCATTCTCGGTGTTTCCGAAATTTACCTTTTTCTTTCTTTCTTCTTTATTTCCTTCATTAATCTTGTGCTTAATAGAAATGTTCATGTGATGTCTTCCTCGTGATTTTATAATGTGTATTATTTTATTTTATTTTTTTCTCCAAATAAAATGCTACCAAGCTTTAATTGAGTTTTACTTTGTATAGAGTGTAATAATAATTTTTATTTTGTTTGAAATTTTTCATTTTACGAACCTAAATGAGAATAGATCAAAGATTTACGACAGTAAGGGATGTTATAGTTTTCCCTCTAGACAACTAGTAGAAGTGCAAAATAATGAAGAAAACAAAAATAAAAAAAAAAATTCCCCCATCATATCGTCATGGTAACCCCATAAGTTATATTGAGATTGACATGGCACAGAAAGAAAACAAGCAAATAGACAAGCCAAAAATAAATTGGTATCATTTGGAAACAAATTTTGAATGAAAATAAACAACTCAACAAAGGTAAACGTAATTGAGAGTTAAAACAAGGAGTCAATCAAACAAGCCATGGGTTGCCAAGGGTTAAGAAGAAAGATCCAATAATCGTGTATAAAGCCTACAGAAAGAAATAACAAGAGGATTGGTACTAGAATCATTTCCTGAAAAAAAAGAGGTGTGAGCAGTTTTCTTTCTTTCTCTCTTTCCCTTCCCCCTCCCCTTTCTCCCCTTTAAAAGTATAATTCGGACTTTGGCCGGACGGATATTAATCAATAGAACAATAAGATGAATAAAAAAAAAGGTATAGACACACAATGAGCTGACTTTAAGGAACAAGGGAGGATTTAAAATCGCTCAATGCCCCCATGGATACTCCTGTATTTTGTCGATGACGAGATGAAGAGAAGGAATGTGAGAAATAATGACGACAGGACAAAGTCCACCAGAGCCAATAATTATATCATTGGTGTTGCACAATTGCACGATATCGGCGTACTTATACATCTTGCGAATAAGGAGAAAAGATAAATATTCTCTACCAAGAATTCACATATGGTTCGATTTGACTGGTTGTACGATGCCATAGTTGTATTAAGTTGTAAGCGTAACCGGTGCAATACACCTCTGTTACATTTTCAAAGGAAGTAACAGATTCTCCCAATTTTTTTTTTAAAAGTTTAGAAGTTTTTGTACCTTTTGGCAATCCCGAAAATAGGAATAATTCTCCCCAATCCCAATCCCAAGCCCTGTCGGAGGAGGGAGGGAATGGGGCCAGGCCCAGAAATGAGACGATCGGAGACAGACACCGGGGAGACAGAAAAAAAACAAAACAAAATCCAACCAACCAACCTCTCGATTCTCCAACTACAGAAATTTTTTTTTTTTTTGCTGGAAGTGAATGTGCGGAAAATGCGATTCATGGATTAAACAGTTACAGTAGACTAGTAAAAGTTTTTTATTTGCCTGACTCACAATGTGACTACGGATGTGAACTCCCGAGATAACGAGATAAGACTAAGGTTTTATTTTTATTTTTTTTGAGTAATAATGATATGAGTCAAGAGTATCAAGATAATTTAACAAATATTGCGCAATAGATTTTCCGATAAGCGGATCTAAAGTACATATTAGTCAATAGTAGTAAAAACAGCTCAATGGGAAAAATAGATAGATGTCGGTAATCACAGTTGGATAGAGTTTCTCTTTTTGAAAGCCCTTTTTTCGGGAAGAGTATGAGAGAATGAGAGCATGAGAGGGGCTTCAATTTTTGCGTGAATAACCACTATTGACATGTTTACCTTAAAGTAGTTATTTACACAAGTCTGGCTAAGTAACATCAAAAGAGAAGAATCGTGGATTTTGTTGATTGAAATGGTGGTTATTTAATTGATCTTTTAAAATGTGGTTATGACTCCCCCATCACTTGAGTTGAAAACAACAAGATGAAATGTGTGGGTTAATAACCACCACACTCGAGCAGAACACGTGCAGTCGTATCATTTTTGTAGCAAGCCACACTACACACTACACAGTACACACTTTTGGTTGTTTATGTTTTTCTATTTTGCTCTTGAATTTTTCTTCTTCTTCTTCTGAGGTGTGCCACTAAAACGGGAATGCGCAACCACATCCACCACCACCACCACCACCACCACCACCACAATTTTTTTGTTGTGCGTTGTGTAGAGAGACTCACAAAGTTGTGTCATAATATTTTATTTTATTTTTATTTTACTTTTCTTTTTTTTGCAACGTTTTTTTTTTTTTTTTTTGTTAGTCTATAAATACAAACTCTATTCTCCTCTCCCCCATGATTTTTTTTTTGCTCTTTAATCAATAGTTTTTTAAATCAAATCAAATCATTATTCATAAGAGTTACAACAATTACAATGGCATACAATCACTATACAACTGCTAGTAATACTACTACTACTACTACCACTACTACTACAGTAAATGATACTACATCATATTATGACGATGAAATATTCCAGATCAATTTGGATGAATCAGAAGAATTGTCTTCCCTTCTGAACACAACTGATAGTAATAGATCCTCGATAGCGTCTTTACCTACTTCACCATTAAATCTGCCAATATTATCTTCATCTCCATTACCTCAATTATCTACATCTCCATTACTTTTACCACAAGCTTATATTGCTTCCCCAAATTATAGAGCTGAACAAGACAATAAAACGTTTCTTTATGAATGCTGCATCTGCAATAGAATAACAGATACCAATACTAATCACCAATGCAATAAACCAATTGAAGAATTGATGTCTCTGAATGACAAACTGATCATTAATAATTATCAAAAATGGTTATACATTCAATCATAGATTACCTTGAGTGTATATTATTATTATTAGTTTTTATTTTAATTTTGGAGAGGTTTAGTTTTTTTTCTTTTTTGTTTTTCGGGTTTTCAGTTTCTATTATATATTAATCATTGGTCGTTTGTTTGGTTCATCTGGTTTGGTTTGGTTTGGTTTGGTTGACTTTTTATTATTATTATTATTATTATTTCATTGGGAAGGGAGTTATATATTTTATAAACGTTATAATAAAATGCACATGTCATTATTATCATTTATAATTGAAGAGTAAAAATATATTATCGTAGCTAACTTTTTCTTTTTTCTTTTTCTCTCTCTGTGTTTTATTTTACGGCAAGATAGGGTGATTTTTTATTTGTTTGTTTATATAAACAATAATATCATGAATAGAAGAAATCATCTTATAATACAGATAAATCAAAAGAGAACAGTTTGTTCTTTAACTCTTTTCTTCATCGTACCTTTCAAGGAGTTGGTTCTATCTATCCACATCTTGATGATTGATTTTAGGTGAGCCTTGGCTTTGACCTTTTTTTTTTTTTTTTTTTTTCGGCGGCATTCTTCTTGTTGAGGCAATGAGCCGCACCGACAAATCCAAATAAGGGAGTTATTACCGCTAGTCGGGTTTACTACAACAACCACCACGACTAGGGAAAACGATGCACGACTAATAAAGAAGGGGAAAATGGAATACACTTAATTAAAGAAAAGAAAAGAAAAGAAAAGAAATTTCAACATATTATACCCAATGTGTGTATGTATGTGTAATCCGTTCTCTCCTTTCTTTTTTATTAAGTATCGTTATTATTATTATTACTTTACTTAATATGGAAAAGGGGGATTAATATCGAATAGGAGAGAGAGAGAGAGAGAGAATCAAGGAGGGAGACTGCATTTGGGTATATTATTAAGGAGTAAATCAATGGAAGCCCTCATCACTTGAAGATGAAACATTTCACAGATTCAGTATGTGCAGACAATTCTAGAACAATCTATAACTTGAAACTTTCATCGATGTTAGTAGCAACTAGAGGAAATATACACACACACACACACACAGAATTCCCCAACAAAATAGATAGGAAGACTATCCACGAAAAAAGAAAAAGAAAAACGAAAACAAGTTGTTGTAAGCGGTACACGTCGTCGTCGTCGTACCACTGATTTGGGCAATTCAATTATTAGTTCGAGACGGATAAGTTAGAAATTATTTCGATGGTAGGTTTATAAAATCTCTCCACTTTCTAAACAACTATATTACAAAACTTTCTTCCTTTTGTATTGGGAAATCTTTACTAACAAGTAAATAAAATCCGGGGGAGGGGAAACCAAAAAAATGACGGGAAACGCCAGGATAAAATTTGAACTCACACACACACACATAGACACTAAGAAGAAATCAAAAAAATATTAATGCCCTACGGAATATGAATTGTCATTCATTTCATTTCGGACTAGCGCTAAGGTTTATTCAAACATCAAGATTCCATATATGAAAGGTGTTGTTTTAATATAGAAGTATTGACAATGTAACTCTATTTTTCTTTCACTCCCTTGTTCTCCCTTGTTCTCCTTTGCCCCCCCGGCCAGCCCCCCTGTTTTAAACTCTTAGTTTCCGGTAATAGACAAAACCAAAATAAAATGTCCACGTTTGTATATTGTTAATTTATCACAATTTAGTGTTGTAATTGTTTCGTAGTAATGATCCCTACACGTGAGAAAAGATCACGCGATTATACTTTACATAATATTTCACAGAACAACATATATTTTGTAATAGATATAAATAAAAAAGAAAGCAAAACTAAACAGCCAATCTTGGCAAAACAAATCTCTTGACGTCATCAAATTGAGGATCTTTTGGTGGTAACTTGACATTAGTTTGAGGAATCATAAATCCATTGAAATAATCATTGACTTTGTTGAGACCAGCAATGGAGAATTCAGAAACCAAAGCAACATGAGAATCTGGACGTAAAACAAGAATAGCACCTTTTTTCTTATCAATTCCATAAGTTGAATAAATATCAACTTTACCTTCATGATAAGTTTCACCAACTCCTGAATATAATCTCCAATAATCACAACGACGTTTGAAATCTAATGGATGTGTGAAACTTGGGAAATCTTCAAGTTCAACATCATGTCTATCTGATGAATGAATTGTAACAATATCAATAACAGAATTGGCAAATGCATTAATTGGAGTGAATTTTTTAGCAAAATATTCTTTAGAATCAATCAATTCTTGGAAATCATTTAATAAATCAAAATTTTTTGGATGATTCTTGACATCACCAGCAAAAATCAATACTCTAAATCTACCATCAGATGAAAATCTTTCTAAAGTATCAACTGGACGACCATCTGCTTGAGCAATTATATGATCATTGTAAAGTCTTCTACCAACTGGAACTTTAGTAGCCAATGAACTAAATACTCTTCCTTCTTCATCTGGTGAAGAAGAAGAAATATTACTTTGTTTCTTGGAAATCAATAAAGAATCTTCATAATCAACAATAGTACCAGATGCAAATTTGCTACCTTGACGATAAAGTGATTGAAATTCATCAAGATCAACCCCATCCATAACATCAGAATTTGGAATCATTGGTTTACCACTAAATAATCTGGATAATTTATGATCAAAAGCAATCAAATCACGAGCAACTTTCAAACGTTCAGATTCATAAGTTGATAAAATATCTTGTTTGGAAAGACCTTTACATACCAAAGCTAATTTGAATCCTAAATTATAAGTATCTTGCATAGAAACATTCATACCTTGACCAGCTTTTGGTGAATGAGTATGACAAGCATCACCAGTGATAAATACTCTATCATGAGATCCAAATTTAGGACTAACTCTTTGACCAATTTGATAACCAGTATACCAACGTAAATCAGTCATTTCTAAAGTATAAGGTTTGAAAATTTCTTGAGCTTGTTTTAAAATAGATTCAGGAGTAATTTTAGATCTATCAATTCTTTTAGAAGTTTCTTTTCTTTCTTCAGTAGTACCACTAAATTCTTTAGTTTCAGTAGATGAATCTCTATCAACTTCTTTTAATTGAATATAAAATCTAACCAAATCATTTTCTCTTGGAATAACCATAACTGATCCACTTTCTTTAGAATGAATAGCACAACGACTTCTAATATCTGGGAAATTAGTAATTGGAACCATATCCAATACTCCCCAAACAAAATCAGTATGATCACCATCCATATCAATTTCTAATTGTTTACGAACCCAACTATGTGCCCCATCTGATCCAACAACATATTTAGCATGAATAAGTTCATAATCATCTTCATTATCTTTGGTGATATCTTTATAAAATTTCTCTTGATCTCCATCAAAAGCACGGAAAAGTCCATTAGCAATTTTACCAAATTGTTCAGGTTTAGCAGAATTATCATCTAATTTTTTAATTAAAATATCAACTGCATGAGCTTGAGGATTATTAATTTCATTTTCATTAATTTGAAGAGAAATTGGTAATAAAGGACGTTCAACTTTAACTTTACCATCGGAAAAATGTTCAATTGAATCATTAAACCATTTTTCAACATTACCTTGATGAATAACACATTCAGTATATTTTGAAACTCCAGGTGCTGAATCAGGTACTCTTGATTTTCTAGTTAAATATCCATTATCATTAGGTGACCAAAAACACATTTCTGTAACATGATTAGCTACTTTCCAACCTTGATCTAAAGTTGCAAAATCAAAACAATTTTCACTAAATGATTTAAAAATTTCTAATGTACGACTTTGTAATCCATCAGCTTGACCAGCAAATATTTCATTTGATCTTTTATCAATGATTCTAAATGGAATACCACATCTAGCTAACCATGTAGCACACATGTAACCAGATGGACCAGCCCCAATGATAAGTACATCAGTTTTAGATTCTTTAATTGCCATTTTTTGTTCTGTTAATAATAATAATAATAGTAGTAAAAGTAGTTGTTATATGAATAGATAAATATAATATAATATAATGAATAAAAGTGTAGTGATAATGAGAATAAAAAAGAAAAAGAGAGAATTATTACAATTTCAAAGACAGCGATTCGTTGGTTCTTTAAATATTGTAAATTTAGCAAAGTTCATTAAAAAGAATTTTTATATTTTTGCAATGATATAGTTTAAAAGTTTGTAGATTTATTTATTTTTAAGTATTTCCGTTGATGTGGGGTAATTGGATATACATAAGGGTTCCATAACCAATATACACCCCAAAAAAAAAATACAAATTGTTACATATTAAGGTTTAATGTATTTCCGATAACAATTGACTGAATATACAAACTGGTATATTATCTCTTCTTATTTTGAATGGGGGTCCGGAAGAAACTTTAGATTTTAGCCCCAGAAAAGCCCACATTTATCGGATTTTAAATGGAGAGAAACTCAATGGTGGATATATAGAATAGATTATGACAGATGGAGAGGTGGAGGGGGCAGGGGGAGTTACGGATGAATCAGTTACTGGTTCCTGCGGGTTCAGATTACATCATCATCATCATCATCATCATCATCATCATCGAACAGAAAATTATAAAATTAATGACAACCATTTTTTATAGCTGAAGACCCACTATTGAGATATCAACCATATGTTGATTTCCATAGATTACAAATACTTATTTAAAGGTGTGGGGGGAGGGAAGAAGGAAAAACAAATACTCATATTCATTCCAACATATATTGAATTTGTATTGTACTGTACTGTACTGTACTATTTGACTCGTGTCGCAAAAACGTCAAATATTTTTTTTTTTAATATTTAAGTTTTCTTGCATTTCCAGATCGGTCCTTAAAAAAAAAAAAATAATAATATGATAAACTGGTAGCGTGTCGATGAATAAGAAGAGCAAGTAAAATTAAAAATAAATAAAACGTTTAATTGATTTTTACATTTCCATGATTTCAATTAATTTAGTAGCAAATATGTATATATATATATATATATGCATAGTAATAGTAGTGAAAAAAACGTTTGGGTGTCAATTTAAAATGATCATTTAAATTTGATTCTCCCCACAAATCAAAAATGCAACCAAACCAAATCAAACCAAATACAAACCAAATACAAACCAAAGGAAAGGAAAGGAAATAGCCCTTCGCATGAATGGATTATTTGTATATATAGGTTTATTGAAGAGGTCAGTGGAAATACTAGAATTAGAACAATAAAAAATTACCTCTTAATTCTATGATTAGTAGATGAAATAACCCCCCCCCCCGGGGAAGGTAGAAGAGAATAGTAGATCTGAAATTAGTTATGAAGCAATATTTACAACTACGTCACATTCTTTTTGTAATTTTTCATCCCGTGCATGCATTTCACATCTCATTCAAAGATTATCTCCTATATGTATATACTAATTACACAAATATACTCTTTTTCTCATTTCTCATTTAACATTTAATGAATAATAATTATAGATACCTCGTTGACTAAATTCAACTGGCCAACAATAAGATTCATCAAGATTCTTTTTACTTCTGTATCCATTCAAATTATAATATCCAATTGAACAATTAATCTTACGACTAGCATATTTTAAAAAATCTGGTTTCTTAACAGAATTCACAATCTTATTCCCAGTTTCTAAATCATAAAATACTAAATTTGATGTATTTAAATTTTGTTTTGATTTCTTACAAACATCATCAGTTTTATAAATCCATGATCTTCTTCCTTCATTATCATAAAATTTCCAAGTAGCTGGTCGACCCAATTCTTCCACATATGAAGTTTGTATAGGTTGAACAGTAATGTATTCTCCACTCGATGTATAATCATACAATACTTTATAATCAAATTCAATTGCTTCGAGTCCACTTTTAAAATTCTTCCTCATAAACATGGTCATATTCGAACCAACAGATTTGATACTTGTTAAATCAAGGAATTTCATCTGGGTATTATCTTTCATAAATTCATTTAATTCCTCAACAGTAACATGTGCATGACTAATGTTTAAACTCTCCAATTGGGGGAATTTGGCTCTAATGGTTAAAAGAATCTTATAATTAGTTGGCATTCCACCAATATTCAAGTATTTCAAATTTGGTGCATTCAAATTCTTCATAGTGTACAACAAATAAACATCTGAAAGTGGACTAACAACATTTGAATCAATTTGTAAATTCAACCATTGTAATGATCCCCTATTAACTGCTGGATGGTTAACCAAAAAATTAATCAAATCTTTGGTTGTCAATTTAGAACATCTTGCAAGTGACAAATGAGTCAATTGAATATTTGTTGGCAACTTCAACAAGATATTTGATGTAATAGATGTATGATTCAAATCCAATCGACTTAAATTGGTTAAATGAGGGAAAATCTTGTTGAATACTTCATTGGATAAGTTTGAACAATCATGAAATGAAAGTTTTGTTATTGACAATTCATCACGAGTTATTTGTAATTCATCAAATGCCTGAGCAAATAATTCACTACTTGCTCCACAAAAATCTAATGCCTTAATCTTGAGTAATTTGTTAAACAAATAATCCAATACAGTAACATTTAAATCATCCTGGATATTCTCTGATGCTAAAAACTCCAACAAATTAGGAGTCATGGATAATGCTTTTGAAATGGTTTTATAAGTAACCATTTGAATTTCTTGATTCATTCTTCCTGTTCTTCCTAAACCAATTGATGTGAATTGTTGGAAATCCATAAACTCCACATATTTCCCAATGATCGGGTTACTTATTAAATTATTCAAGAATTTATCAAATGAATGAGGACGATTAAAAATAGTATACTTGTATAAGAAACAAAGTGACAAATGGTGGAATTTCTTCAGTAACAAAGGAATAGTATTGGCGAATTTTTCCAAATTGGCATTGATAGATGAAATATCATTATCCACATAAACATATTCAAGAATTGTATACAATATCTCCAAGGGATAAGAAAGTAATGGTGAAAATGGTTCTTCTTCTTCTTCTTCTCCTCCTCCAATTACTTCTACTTCATGGTGTGCCTTTTCTTCTTCATTTAATTGACGTTCAAACTCTTCGGCTTCTGCCATTACAACATCATAACCATCATCCACATTATTATCCTCTCTATCAGTAACAATATCCTCCACTGATGATGCGGGTGATTGTGGTTCGATATGATTAAATCCTTGCCCTATGACCGACAGGTCCGAATATGCATTATATGATTCATTGGATGTGACTGGACTTAAGAAAAAAGTCGATGGATATTCATCAGGATTATCTGGTGGAGATGTTATAGGAATAAGGGATAAATCATTATCATCAATCTGTGAACTTGATGTGGGTTGTTGTTGTTGCTGTTGTTGCTGTTGGTGTTCGTTTTGTTTTTTAAATACACTTGCTCTGATCTTATCCAAGTATCGACGATGCTGAAGATTAAAATTCATTACCAAGTGATATATATGTGTAGAGATAATGAACGTTATTTTAATAATAATTCTAAAAGAAAAATTGGTTCTTTTTCTCCTGATGGATTGAAATGCATTATAAAAAAAAATATAGGTGAAGAGAAAATTGCACTCTCCATTTTTTTTTTACTGTGCGTGTGCACTGTGTGTGTGCACTGTGTGTGATGCGAGAAAGTCATTGAAAACTCACACAAGGGAAAAATGCCTTATGGTTTTAATTCTCGGACTCCGAGAAATTAATTTGGCAGTATGACGCAAGTTGTTTTAATATTGTTACAAGGTTCCCCTTCCCACTTGAAGGCATTCTATACACAGACAATTCTCATTCCTGACATGTACATAGACCATTCACATTGTATATTGTCTCCTATATATATTGTAATGACAAACGAATTGATATATTATAAAAGACACAACTCTTCTGATTTCCCCTCGTTATTGCCAATTCTCCTAACCACAAAATCAAAGAAAAGTCACAACTAATCGGAAATTAAACTATACCACACTTTGTAAAATTCAAAAGATAAAATTTTACAAATACACATTAAGCGCAAACCTGTATAATTAAACAATTTAATATTTGTTCATATATTTCAACCTTCTAATATCAAAACATCGTATTATCATCGATACATTCAAATCTTGGCTCTTCACTTTGTGTTATAATCATTATAGTTGTTACAAGCCTTACAAGAGAATCCAAAGCGGGGAGACAAATTCCAATTAAATAAATGTCCATAACATTCTCTTCTCGTGCCTTACTTGATCACCAACTCATTTCTTACATAAACTATTATCGGACATGCCTTTGAGAGAGAGTCCTATAGGAACAAGTTTTTACTGTTCATATGACTAACGAAGGTAGTCCAATCAATGTGAATTAGACTAGCTTAATAAATCAAAAGAATATATAAATAGTGGGAATTTCCTCTTCTTTCGAAAAACTCACGTTATATCGATTTAGAAAACTTAGTTTATAAATTGGCGGTATAATGAGGTTAAAATGTAATTGTTGAGTGATGTGTCTCCAACACTAAAAGTTATCACGTTTCACTAAGCTAAATCATATGTGATTAGTTAACTATGGATATTTGTAATAAATATAACTAATTCAAATGCTCATCTCTACCCGAACAGTAATTCTAACAATTATTTATATTTATCATTATACAAGATGAATGTTTGGTAGTGTGATTTGTTCATATTTGAAAAAAAATAGCTGTGCTTTTCAGTTATCAGATAATTGTATCAAGTTTTTTTAGTGTCTGCTCAAAAAATATGCTATAGTATAACAGAATGTATGGTTTAGATAGAATTAATAGTGATACAGACATAATAATTACAAGCTCTATTAGATTCTATATGTGATTAATCGTGTACAGCATTAGTAATAGTTTTATGTAGTTATAACACCAATTGAAACAGTTTTCCTCTTCTTATCTAGCGATTTGCAGATATGGGGTATCAAAAGTGAAAATCTCAAGGGATGTTTCTTGGAAATTTATCTCTCGACGTAAACTGGTCGATAATTTTATAATTTTAGTCGACAATTACCGCGAAAAAATTGCAAAATTCAAAAAATTGAAAAATAAATCATGAAAGTGCTATACTGATACATATCTACGAATTTAACACAATTAATAGTTTTAAGGATATTTAAACAATAATAGAAGGATATTTTCACCTTTGATGACATCTACAATAGATTCAAGTGACAGCAAATTGATGATATCATACTAGTGCAACTGAAAATATGCCATCAGTTGAATTTTGTATGGGGAAAAGAGATTCACGTCTTTTTTTGGTATTTTTTCGTGTGTGAACCGATTTGAATTTCACGGGAATAAACCTCTTGAGATCCTGATCAACCCCTTTGGAAATACCAGATGAACAAAAAGTTAGAAAATTAATATAATAATAGTATATATCTGTCAACATGTAGATGAATATTCTAATGAATACAATTTGAGTGGTCTGGATATCATAATTATTGAGTTATTTAGGAAAACCATAATTCCCGATAAAAAAAAGATACTTTGATTTTTGAAGAGTAAGGTTTGATAGATAACTCCACCAGTTTTCATTGTATTGGCTCAAAAGTTAGTGTGGCAGTATTAAACAAAGATATAAATAACATTATGTTGTCAAAATGACGATAATCGAGCCAGAATTGATAGATCTAGTGAAATATATGCAACTTTATGAAATCTCTTTGGTTTGCAAAATAAGGGAAATAATTTCCAGTGGTCGCATTTTTGGAAATTCTCTAAAAATTACTGAGGTTTCTTTTTTTCCACGTTTTGGCAACCTTTGGGCAACCTTATGACGTTGCCATTTTTCAGCAACATAATGAGGTTTTCAACAAACTAAAAAGGACATTGGTGTTTCTCACTTTAGGTTATTTTCAAAAGTCTTCCGCAACTTTATAAATGCACCTTTTTTTCCAAAATCTTGCAACAACATCAATTGACTGGTATTAGCTTTCATCATATTTTTGTTATTTGCAAACATGAAAAAGTGACAAAAACAAAAATATCGATAAACAATATCGTGGAATACTATGAATGCTCTTATATACTATCATTACATATGAAATAGGGACAAATATACATCAGCGGCAATTATTGAAACTATCCAGGAGCTACTCATTCAATATAAAAATTCAGTATATATTTCATTCCCCGAAGAGGTGAACTGTAAGTGGATTTGTAAGAAAAAATTTACCAGTTGAATAAACTATTACCAGTCAATGGTGTGAATTAAATTAGCATTACAAATATTTACCGATTAAAATTTGTTATTAGTTATGTTCAGCCTATTCTCGACATGTAAGTGGGGAAACTTCTTGAATTTAGGTCCATGGTTCGAACGAAAGAATCTGAAGAAAAAGAAAAAAAAGTTCAAATATGACAACCAATGAAAGATATAATACATAAATCGGGTTCTGTTCCATCACTACCACTATTAGTACTTACCAGGACAATCTATTGTGTTATTCTTTTATTATATCATCGAGTTAAATGCATAAAACCCACAATGGTTCATGTATCCAACCAGTACAACTGAAAATATATCACCAGTTACATTTTGTATGGGGAAAAGAGATTCAAGCATTTTTGGATATTTTTTCGTGCGTGAACCGATTTGAATTTCACGGGAATAAACCACTTGAGTTGCTGATGGACCCCTTTGAAAGCACTATATGGTTTAAAAACTGTAAAAATAATATGAGAATAGTATACAAATGATTAAATCTACATTAATATTCCAATGAATACAGTTTGAGCTGTCTGGATAGTGCAATTACTGATTTATTTGGAAAAATTATAATTCCCGATAAAAAAAAGATACTTTGAAATTCCAAGAGTAAGATTTACATCTAACTCCTCCAATACTTAGTCGATCAATTCAGAATAAACTTATATAGCATAGTTTATCACTACAAATCATATGCCGTTTTCAAAATTGCAAAAATCGTACTAAAAGTAACAAATGTTTCAAATCGTGGAACATTTGCATGGCCCACTGTAACGACAAGAGAAACAGAGATCTAAATGCTACTTTTTTCTGGAATTTGCAAATATTCCCCAAATTTGGAACATACAAATCTATGTTGCATTGGATGGAACATTTGGACATTCTAATACAGAGCAAAACCATTGGGATATAGAAATACGCACTAATTAGGATATTGAAAATCAGTGAATTAATGCACAGAATATTTGAATATACAGATATATATAGCACATCTACTGGAATATACGAATACGCACCAAATCAGAAACTTAAAATCTATGATTTAATTGAGGGAATATTTGAATATATAAGTTACCACCATCAAACCCATAAATGTAATCATCCATCTTCTGTTTTACTTTCTTCAGAATCTTGACAAATTGGTTATTTTGATTGACCATTACCATGGAATATATTATTTTGGTTGATTCACATTATATTCTGATGGATTAGAAAATACTCATTTTGCAACGAATTATTCAAAAGTGTCTAAAATGCTTTTTTTTTTCTGTATATCAAAGATCTATTCTCACTACAATTTTGTATGGGGAAAAGAGATTCACGTCAATTTTTAAGATTTTTTCGTGTCTGGGCCAATATTAAAACTACGGGAATAAACCAATCGAGTTGCTGATGAACCCCTTTGAAACCGCTAAATACACCCATAATAGGAATTTCCACATTTAAATCACTTGATTGTATTTGTATTTATATAATTATTTCAATTAATCCATTTTCAGCGAACTTATCACTGCAATTATTGGACTATTTAAGAAAACCATAATTCCCGATAAAAAAAAGATACTTTGATTTTTGAAGAGTAAGGTTTGATAGATAACTTCACCAATTGTTAACAAATTCACCCGGGATTGGATGTGACACTATTAAACACTGATACAAATAATGTACCGTTGTTCAAACGACGAATATCGAGTTAGAATCAATAGATCTAGCAAAACATGGACAACTTCATGAAGTATCTTTGGTTTTAAATATAAGCAACTTAATTTTTTGTCATCGCATTTTTGGAAACTTTCTTAAAATTAATGAGGTTTCCAATTTTCCACGTTTTGACAACCTTTGGGCAACCTTATGACGTTGCCACTTTTCAGCAACATAATGAGGTTTTCAACAAACTAAAAAGAATGCTGCGATTTCTCAATTTTGGTTATTTCAAAAAGACTCCCTCAACTTTATTATTTCACCTTTTTTTTTCCAAAATCTTGCAACAACATCAGTTGACTGCTACTAGCTTTGATATTATTTTTGTTATTTGAAAAAAGTGGAAACCACAACAATATCGATAAACAATATAGCGGAATACTATGAATATTCGGATAGACTATCATTTTATATAAAATATCGACAAATATACATCAGCGGCAAATAATGAAACTATACTGTATCGGTATAAAACTCCAGTCTATACTTCATTCTCCAAAGAGGTGCATTGTAAGTAAATTTAAAGAAGAAATTTATCATTTGAATAAATTATCAGTAGTCGATGGCTTGAAATGAATCAGCATTACAAATAGTTACCAATTAAAATTGGTTATTAGTTATGCTCAACCTATTATCGACACACGGATTCCGCGAATTCTTGAATTTAAGTCCATGGTTCATACAGAAAACTCTGAGAAAAAAGAAAAATAAAATCAAATATCAGAAAGAGTGAAATATATAATATATAAATCAGCTTCTGATCCGTTGGTACCACTATTAGTACTTGCCATAGCCATATATGATGTTATCAGATTATTACATAATCTAGTTGAATGCATGAAAGCTACAATGGATCATCTTTGGAACCAGTACAAGTGTAAATGTACCTTCAGCTAAATTTTGTATGGCGAAAAGAGATTCAAGTCATTTTTGGTATTTTTTCGTGTACAAACCGATTTAAAAATCATGGGAATAAACCACTTGAGATGTTGATGGACCACTTTGAAAGCACTAGACACACCAACAACAGGGATCACTAGCTCCAATGCATATAAATGTGTACTAATTTGTATGGATATTTCAATCAAACCATTTTCAACGTGGCCAAACTCATGTTTATTGAGTTATTTAGAAAAATCATAATTCCCGATAAAAAAAAGATACTTTGAAATTCCAAGAGTAAGAGTGATAGATAACTCCTCCAATACTTAGTCGATCAATTCAGAATAAACTTATATAGCATAGTTTATCACCGGAAATCATACACCATTTTCAAAAATGCAAAAATCGTACTAATAATGACAAATGTTGCAAATCGTGGAACATTTGGATGTCGCACTGTGACGACCATAGAAAACAGAGATATAAATGTTACTTTTTTCTAGAACATACAAATATTCTACAAAGTTGGAACATTGAAATCTATGGATATATGGAGGGAACATTTCTATATACGGATATATGGAGGGAAAATTTGTACATACAGATGCGCACCAAATCAGGAACATACAAATCAATGGTTTAATGGATGGAACATTGTAACACACAGATATATGGCGCAATCACTGGAACATATAAATGTACAACAAAAAGTGACATTCAAAAATATGGTTTCAAGGATGGAATATTTGAATATATATATATATTTATTTTCGGAATGTAGATTTATAAGTTACCGCCATCAAATTCATGAAAATGATCTACTGTTATGTGTCTTTCCTTATTCATAATTCTGTCAAACTGATTATCTTGATTGATTCCCATTATATTCAAATGGATTATAGAATATATGTCAAAAGGAAATTGTTCAAGAGTGTCTAAAATGCTGTAATTTTTTCCGTATCATTACAAAAATATGAACTATTCTCGCAACATACCAAATCTGCTAACCCGATTCACTTAATAGAAGAGTTTAATCAGATCATAATTTTAAGTAGAAAATCTCCATTCATTGCTTAATTGTTTTAGGATATTTATATTCATAGTGGATATCATCATTATTCACTTCTATTTAATCTAACTTGTCAAAATTATAACAGTTGTTACTTTTTGTATGGTGAAATAAGATTCAAGTCAACTTTCATGTCTGAATCAAAATGAAAATTACGGAAATAAGCCACTATAGATCATAGTGAATTCATTTGGAAACGCTATACACACCAATACTGTGAATTATCAATATGTAAGTATCTCAATGTAATGGTAAACATATGAATATAATAACAATACAATTTTCAGCTATATCAATAGCACAATTATTGGAAAATTTATACAAATTTTGTGAGACGTCTTATGAAATGCAAAATTAATAATTCCATTAGAGCAGTAATGATAACACATTGAATACTATCAATATTCTGATACAGATATATATATATATAAGCCAACAGAATATATTAAGTATTGAACAATGTAATGAATTAAACTCCACCTTTTGTTTTGTTAGAATGTTTACAATATCCATAGACACAGATTTGAATTTTTATAATATGTTTCAAGTAGTTTATTCTTTATAGTTTACCATAAAACTTGAAAGAAATTATCCACTACTTCCAAATGTTTTATATTCATGTACTAATTTTACTGAACCTTAATCATTGTTACTATTAATAATGTTTGTCCGTTTTTAGTACCATTATCATCAAGTTATCCCCCGTTATCAAAACAGCATTGTATAATTAGTCTCAAGATATTTCATAATCTAAATATATGATATGTTAAATGGTATTTTTCGTATAATAATAATTGGTCTTACTTTTTGAAACTAGTTTATATTGTTATCGACAAATAAGAAAATTCTAAATTTGTTGTAAAAAATTTCAACCCTCCTGTCAAACATTTTGCAACTCAAAGACTTCTTGTGACAAACACCATAGAATCAGATGCAGATCCAAAGCGTATGTAAAGGGGTCTGTCCTAGTTCCAAGCTTTGGTTTTTCATATTGTATCATCATTTAACAAAGACAAACAATTAATAATGACTGCTCAACAAACTAACAGCAACGCTAACACTAAAACTCAATATACTTTTGCTGCTTCTAAAGACAATGCTGTTATTCATGTCTTGAATGGGAAAGGATACATGGCTTATAACTGTACTGTGATGTAATTGATGCATGGAAACAACCCAAAAAAAAAAAATGTATGCATAATTTTTTAAATTCAGAGAACAAAAATGAAAGATTGCAAGAACCCGAGGAATCGAACCCGGGGCCCAACGATGAGCAACGTTGAGATTTTACCACTAAACCATTCTTGCTACTTGTTGAGAATCCAAAAACAGTCTGGTTTAACATGTACTGTTAATTCAATTAATTCAACGTATATAAAAATCAATTCTCGAATTTAATAACGTCCCTTGCAATGTTAATTGTTAATGCTAGCTTCTTTCAATACTAAGTACTTTATGTCTCATTAACTAGTATAGACTATTTAAGGCCTATTCAATGTATGAAAAAAAATATATACAAAAAAAAAAAAAAAATAATGAAAATGTGTCAAAAGAATTATACAACAGATTGAACTTCAAAGAATCTACGTAAGTAATAGATTTGAAAGATGGAGTTAACGGCAACAAAAAGGATTTGGAAAACAGACCACCATTTAACTCTTGAATTGGTGGATTCTGCGGTATTTCTATGAGTTCTTTCTCTCAAGACCAAATAACCTTGTTCAGCTTTAACATCTTCAGTCAATTGATTTAATCTTTGAATAGCATATTCCAAACTATCCAGTTTTGGATCATTAACATCAACATAAACAACACCATGAATATTAAATGAAACATCAAGATCAACTCTACCGGATTTTTCATTACTAAAACAATAAGTATATTTACCTGAAGAAGGAGCTTTAACAACTTCATCACCATGATCTAAATCAGTTTTTTTCAAAATAGTTTGTCCTTGTGGAGTATTAATATAAAAATCAATAGTATATTGTTCAGCATTATGTGGGTTACGAGAACCAACTTGGAAACTCACAGCAAGTTCATCATTCTTTTTCAATTCTTCAAAAAAACATTGTTTACCATAAGGATGTAATAAAACATTGTGAGCAGAAATTGCTGTAATGAAATATAAAAACACTGAAGCAACTAAAGATGATGAATACTTCATTGTTGATGTATGTAATTGGGTTAAACTTGAGTAATTTGATAAAGTGAATTCTAAAAATGTTTTGGTTGGCTTTTAAAAAAAAATACGTTGATCTTGAAAATTTTTTTTTTTTTGTTTGGTTCTATTTTTTGCTTTTGCTTTGTTGTACTAAGAGAATTTTCGCACTGTCTGGATTTCAACAAGGAAAAAAAAAAACACGAACACACGAACACACGAACAAACAACGCGTGAAAAAAAATAAAGGAACAACCAGTGGTCGTGTATACAGGGCAAAGAATCCTCTTTTTAATTTTTCTTTTTTTTTTTGGTGGAGATTTATACTACGGATTTAGCAACCAATGGATGTTGAGATATGGTGACAACCTAGTGTGGATGTTCTTAGGTTATAATATGAAACTTTTGCATTGGTTTCAACTAATCCAATCTGGTAGTATTCTTGACTGTCCAATGATATTATTCCCCAAGGTACACTAACAGAAACAGCAACATCTACCAATCAATTAAACAACATCCAATTGACTTCAGTTTAGAAATATCTCTCTTCCCCCGGTAATCGTAGTCACCTCCTTCTTCACCAATTCGGTCAAGCTTTATTTCTTTCTGAATCAACAATAATGTGTTTTTGTTTGTTTGTTTGTTTGTTTGGTTTAATGTGATTTAATTTAATTTATCATAATCATCTTAGTTTATACATAATAATGAATGCAACTCGGGGAAAAGCAACACCACCATCAACAACAAAAAAAAAAAATCCGAGAAAGTTAATTTTCGATATTTTGAGAGTATATTCTTATATTTTCGTTCTATCTGAACAGATTCTTATACATCATGGAATCACGAAGCTCGTAATGTTGATATTCAAAATATGAATAATAAGCTTTTTTCTTCTTTTGGATGGTACTTCTAATCGTGAGAATATGACCATCATATATAATGGATAATCTATACAATTGACAAGAGAAACATAATGTTCTTAAATCCATGATCACTATCTAAAATATCATTTATCTTATTAATTATAAGACAAAGTTGCCCCATTTTGTATAATGTTTTAATGGTAACAATAGTAATACCAATAGCAATAACAATAACAATGCTACTATCGCTAATAATAATATTAATCAGTGTGGCTAATTTGTGTACATTAAAAGAAGGGTTCAATTTCGTTACGTACAAGAAACTAAATTGGTGAAATCGATTCAGTGTATTTTTTTTTCTTTTCTTTTCTTTTCCATACATAAAATCTAACCACAGAAATATCAACTCAAAGGTTATTCTTGTTCATTTTTATACTTTATGTTTTCATTCTCATGCTTCATGCACTTGTATTTTTTTTTTTTAATACATTTTACATCATCCTTGGAATATTCTTCAGTTTGTAAAGCACTAGGGTGAAGTCCATCTCAGAAGTGTTGAATCGTCATCATCAAACAAGTGATCAGTCCTCTTACAAACGAGTATATATTGTTTATTGAGTTCATAGATGCAAATATGGTTTAGATTGTATTAGAAATATTAGTACACACTCTTTAAATAAACAAATAAAATACGAAAAATTGCAATAGATCCACACTCCTTCTAGAAATGTTGCAAACAACACATTCATTCTGGAATAATAGACCTAAGCAAAGACAAAAACAAATGTAAAGAACTATAAATAATGTAATTGTACTCTCACACTGAAATGGAACAAGAAGGAAAAATGTCAAAAAATTAATTTCAAAAAAAAAAAGTCAAACTCCAATTAACAAAAATAAAACCAATAATAATGTTAAAAAAAATGTAGCTAGATGTAGTAATGTAGTCTATATTTAATTTCCCCATAAATATATATTTATATAAGCCTTATTCTCTATTTTTCTTCTTTCACACCACTATTGTTAGATTGAACTGGTGATTGAGTAGGTGGTTGCTGGTTTGGTTGTCCTTGTGATTGAGGAGGCTGGGAAGCTTGTTGATGTGGAGATGTCTGTACTGGTGCCTGTTGTTGTTGTGGTTGTGATTGTGGTTGTTGAGCACCAGCAACAGATTGTACTTGTGGAGATTGATGAGCTGTTGAACCATTACCAGTTATAGGGCTGGCAGCACTTGGGTTTGCAATTCCTGCTTGTTGTGGTTGTACAGGAGATTGTTGTCCTGGAGCAGACCTGGTTGTTGTTTTGTTGCTGTGTTGCTGCAGTTGTTGTTGTCCTTGGTA